TGAAATAGAAACAAGCTAAGATCCTGAGGGTTTATCTTGCTTGTGACTGGAGCTCAATGGATGATCGAACCGCGGAGGTGGCAGTTAACAAAAGTAAAATGCAGAAAAATGACAGTGGTCGAACTGATTATCTGAGAAGACCATCACCTCTGATCACCGTCAGCACTTACCCTTGGTTCATGCTTATGACGTGTCCCAGAGTTTGGTAACCCCCTGCCGCAAAGTGGTCCTTGTAGCGGCTCATCTTTATGGTGTCCAGCCAGTCGTTTACTGAGTTACAGCTACTGAAGTCGGGGATAGCTCTCTCCATCAGCGGAGGACTGTTTAAACTGCGGGACACAAATAGAAAGAGAGACGGATGGACATAGAGAGAGAGAGAGAGAGAGAGAGAGAGAGAGAGAGTGAGAGAGAGAGAGAGAGAGAGAGAGGAAGATTGATGGGAAGACAAAAAGATTAGTTCGAGGGAGTCCGAAAATGAGAAAAAGAGGCAAAAAGTGAGCAAGAGGCAGAGCAACCTGGAGGGAAAACGGGGGGGGGGTCTTTGAAACGTGCTGGTAGCTGAGGCAGAAAATCAATAGCGGTTCAAATGATAGAGAAGAGGTAGTGGCTGTGGTTGCAGGATGGCTGCTTTGGGTAGATTAATAAAGGCAGGAATCCTGAACACTTCTCCTCTACCTCACGCTGACATAGACGCACGGCGCCACGCACCACTGGCTCCGTAGGACCCGGGATCTGAACTGAGCAATTTACGCAGGTCCGTCTTTGGCCCGGCTGTCCTCTCAAACGTGTTCCCAGATTCGCCGCGGATCAATGTCAGTATCACAGCCGGGCTTTTACTCACAGCGCGTCTATCAGGAGTGAGCTTATTGGAGAACCACCTGGCTTCATTTGCCGGAGAACTTTGAGGGAAACTTTTGGGCTGCAACTTTATCCCACCGCGCTCATGTTTTAAAGCAGCGGGATGAGATTGGATTTACCCCGGCTCCCACACCAGGACGGCTACTTAGCAGCCTAACAGCCCGTCACCAGACGTTGTCCGGCGGATCATCTTCTCAGCCCCCCCGCTTAGATTGTTGCGTCTTAATCCGCTAATCATGCGAACCAATATTTGATTAAATGTCGGGCGAAACCGTCGGGCCAAATTGAATCAAAAGACTCCTCGGCATGTGACACGATGCAAACGTGGATCTACTCAGCGGCCCACCCACCTGCAGAGCGTGTCCATGGACTTCAGGTTCTCCGGGTTGCGGATTAGCTTGTCGAGAACGGTGACTATCTGGCAGAAGCGCGGCCTCTCGTTGCGGTCCTTCTGCCAGCAGTCCAGCATGAGCGTGTGCAGAGGACCGGGGCAGCCCATGGGAGCGGGCAGCCTGTAGCCCTCCTCCACGGATTTGATCACCTGAACAAAAAAATAGGCACGAGAGTACAGTGTATGCTGCGACAATAAGGTGAGGGGGGCTAGTTCGTGAAACAAACAGCGCTCACGTCTCTGTTGGTGAGGTTCCAGTACGGTCGCTCTCCGTAGGACGTCACCTCCCACATGACCACGCCGTAGCTCCACACGTCGCTGGAGGAGGAGAACTTCCTGAAGGCGATGGCCTCGGGGGCTGTCCAGCGGATTGGAATTTTCCCGCCCTGTTGGGAGAATAAAAATGATTGACCAGGGTCTTTCAATCTTTCTTTAGTTATAGAATCCAACTCATGATCGCAGAATAAAGGATTAGTTTGGCTATGTTCTATATTCTTTCTTATCATATCATCATCCCATGAAAAGACCAAAGCCATCAAAGAATGTATCCTACTTAAAAATACTATACTATACTATATTTTATTATTTAATTCAAATATTTTAGTCCTCTATGGGGTATAGCTCCATTATTGTCCAAAAACTGTAAAAAAAAAAAAACATAAATCAGCCACATTGTTGCACTGGTTGACATGTTTCTGCAACGCGCCAAATGTGTATTTTCATATGAAAATAGCCCCCAACAAACTTTTTTCTTTTTGGGGGGGGTTTTGAGTGAAGTTTGCTGAACACTGCTGCTCCCAGCTGTCTATGAAAATGAATGAGCCTTTAAAAAACAAGAAAGAAACTTTGCTTTTAAAGATTTACGTCTTATGTCTTCGAGGGGATTTGGAGCTGAGGGTCACACACTGTGTGATTTTGGTCTTGCACTGGGATCTGTTGACACTAAGGAAAATACAGATTGATGCTGGCCTTAACCTTTAAATCCAGGTGGGGACGGTGAAAAAGACATTGTCAACATTTACCAGGGAGGTAGACCCCACATCTGTTCAAATACAGCTGGGGGAGGTGGTCACAAACTAATTTAATACAAAAATGTTGACAATATTCTCTGTTTAATCAAGAAAATCCAGTGGATCCTATCTTAAAGCTACCCTAATTCATATTTTCATACTGGATCAAATGACTGTATAATATGAAAGGGGTCGCTGGTAGTGACAAACCCACAGAAAATGATCACCCGACTTCACAGTTGCCCTCAGCTCTACGGAGCATTTTAGTGTCTTTTAGCTCATTATTTTGGTTTGATGGACAGTTTAACGCTTGTGCGTCCCTTTAAAAAAAGTTGCTCTGATGTTCTGAGATGTCCCCTTGCTAAAACTGCAAAAGTAATTAATAAATTGAACAAACATAAGCCCTGATCATCACTACCAAATATTCAAATAGTTTCAGAATTTTAACCCTTAAAATGTTATTTATGTTAACATAATTTTTATAACACCACTGTTGTTTTTAGCCCCACAAAAATTTAATTATTTTCTGTATACTTAATCTTTTTTCACAGTCAAGTTATTAGTCACGATATTTCAATGATTAGCAACAACATTGATTTTGATGTTTTGCTCAAAAATGCAGCAGCAATGCTTCCAACAGTGGAAACCAAGAAAATAGTATGCATTTGTCATTTGTAACATGAGAACACGGCTACATCTGGTAGAACATAGTAACATTTTGAAGCCAGGGCTCTAGGTTCAAAGCCTGATATAATATAATGCTTGATTGTGTGCTATAATGGGCGTGGGATCAAACATTGATGTTTTTAATGGGTTTCAATGGGGACATTTTTGTCCTTTGGGGTCTGAATGTATTTTGACTACACAGTTTATTATAGACCTATTATGAGAGCTGGGGCTTAACCTCCAAAATTAGAAAAAATAAAGAAAAACCCCTTGCCACATGTATGCAGCCAAAATGATTGTTAACTTAAAAAGCCAAACATGTCCCCAATGAAGCACACAGGTTAGTAGTACCACAGTCTCAACATAACCCTACACAAGTAAAGGTACAGAAGTCTTATCAGTAGTAGTAGTAGTACTCATGCAGAAAAGCCTTATTCATATTGTTATAACGTGCAGCATATTATTGATTTATTACCATTCCCTCAATGTGTAAACAGCATTTATATGTTAGTGAAAGCGGCTCATTTTAACTACTGTGTATACTGTTGAGTAGTTTAATCAACAATGTAGTATACAAAGTATCTATAGCAGTCCAATACTGGAGTAAATATGCAGTTATCCTCTGAAATGAGGAGACATTGAGGTAAAAAGTAGCATAAAGATTGAGATTAGGGAAGTACTAGCCTACTCAATACTTACCTACACCAGTGAGTAAATGTACATGAACGTTTAAAGTTAGAAGACACACCATGGTTAAATGACTAAACAGGGCGCATGTGCTGCGGGGCCAGTACGAGAATAGACTTGCAAATGTTTGCAAGTATGTGAACTACTTACACTTTACTCTTGATATAAAAGTGACACTTAATTAGGTTGACAGATGGACGCGTCACTTCTTAAACAAACAAAGCGCTCCCGAGTGGGTTATTTTAAACATTTGAAGGTTGCTCTCAAAACGCAGCCCATTAGGCACACACCTGACGTCCTGCTAAACCATAAAAACCTGCAACATGACGGGAATCCTGTAACCTTCACTCAAGACCTCAACACTCGCAGCTTCTTCAAAGTGACTTTGGCTGCCAGATTCCATACAATAGGCAGCTTTTTATTTACTTCCAGATAGTAACGAGAACCGTGTTTATCATCAGCCATAATCAGCCATTAATTTCCAGATGACGCTATAGTGTCTGTAATATCCTCATTAACAATCCTTTTCCCCTAAAGCAGCATGTCTCTGGGTGATGCTGCATGTCATCACCCAGCTTCCTGTAATCTGATTGCCGTGCTTTAACAGACTGTAACAGACAAATGTGTCAAATGCTGATTTCCATCTGCTGTGAGCTGATAGCATCAGACACTGGAAGGAGCTCGGCTTCTTTATATTTTATAGTTCAGGCTTGTGCTCACCGGGCTGTAGGTTTAATACTGGACTGCTCTCTGCTGGAGCACTTACAGACATGATTTTACTTTGCTCTCAGTTTCATTGGACTTGATTGTATCTGTGTAGCTTTTGTCTCCAGCTTTAACTCTCATCTTGATGCTTCTTTCTTGGCCGGATTTCAGTGGAACTGCCCTCTTAAATAAAGGTTATTCACGAATGATAAATAGGATATAGTAAAAAAAACATCTTTACTTGTCAATTTAATTTGACAAAATATGAAGATATACTGTATATCTGATGAATGTATATATGTGATGGCTGTAAGGACATTATCTTTTGGCATTGCACTATATTTACATGATCTTAAGGATTTTTACGTCTGAGGTTCAATATATAAAGCACTTGCTGCTAAAGGCAGCCAGTATGCCTTGTGCAGTTTTAAAGTTGGAACTCAATGTACACATAAAAGGCAGCGCTGAGCACTACTCAGATGATTAATGTCCTCTGTGGCTCTGAAGGAACTTTGTCTCAGTAAAAAACCCTGATGTACGGAAGCCCTGAGCAGAAAGTGAGAAAAAAAAGAAATCCGGTGATCCATTTAAGCTTTTGCCAAGATAATCTATCTAAGTGCCTTAATTCTTTTTTATTTCATCTGTGAAACAGCTGGAAATTAAGAACATGGTGGAGCATGCTCTTAAGTCATGAACACGAAATTACATGTTATTAAAAATGAATGACATCATCAGGGTTATATGTTTTTTTGATTTGGATGACCAGAGCCCAGCATAGTCCGGTTCTGCTGGGTGAAGCCTATGTGGAAGTGTCTTAAACTTGCATTCTCTCTGCTGACCATCAGGGGGCGACTCCTCTGGTTGTATAGAAGTCTATGAGAAAATGACTCTACTTCTCTCTTGATTTATTACCTCAGTAAACATTGTAAACATGAGTTTATGGTCTCAATCTCTAGTTTCAAGTCTTCTTCAATACAGCATGATGTTCATTTAGTAAATGATGGTCCATTTAGAGTCAAATAGACCATAAAGAGGAGTATGCTTTAGGGCGGGCTTACTGTGATTGACAGGTCGCTGCCTCTACAAGAGCCTTATACGGCATCTCAATGTCACTCCCCCGCTGTCAAAAGATGTTCACTTTTGCTAGCTGGTTACCAAGAAAAAAGACAAGACTACCAAAATCCAAGATGGTGACGGCCCAAATGCCAAACTACGACGACTACGTCCACTTGTTATACGTATTATAATTTTTATCTGGAGAGAAAAAAGTCAGATGGGCGTTCTATTGGCTGCTATAGGTTGTAAATGGGAAATGTAGGATTCCAGGGTTTTTGGAGATTTCACCCGTCCTGATATATCAGGCTCTGCTGCTTTAATTTTTTTAAACCATTTTCTCCATTGGTAGTCCCCCCAATGGAAGTGCATTACGAAATTGCTGGAGCACCCCTTAGGAATCTGTAAAAATCTTCCTCACTGCATGGAACTCATTGTGTGTTCTTATGCAAGTTTACATGAGGCTGTAACTGCAATTTTGACATATAACGTTGATACGACCTAAGTGGAATAGTTGATGTATGTTTTTCATACCCATTACACGTGCTCGCCGCCTCCTTTAAAGAAGTGTGTGAGTGTGTGTGTGCGTTGCATCAATGCTTGCCTCAATGTGAAAACTCACACTGGTGGTGTATGCAGCGTCGGGGTCGTCCTCCAGCACCCGGGACAGGCCGAAGTCAGACACCTTACACACCAGGTTGCTGTTGACCAAGATGTTGCGGGCAGCCAGGTCTCTGTGGATGTAGCCCAGGTCAGACAGGTAGGTCATACCTGCCGCGATGCCGCGCAGCAAACCCACCAGCTGGATGACGGTGAACTGGCCATCGTGCCTCTACGGGTAGGGGGAAGAGAAAAAGAGAAAGATTGGGGGGAAGGTGGTAGGGAGTTTTAATGGCAGATCACAAAAAAAGAAGTGAAGGTAGAGCAGCAGAACAGATGAGGAGAGTGATAATAGAAGAGATTTTAATCAAGATAGAGAGGAGAGTACAGATAAGAGAAGAAAACATGACAGGGATTTGCTTGTTAAGTAATAATCTACGGTATCTTCATATAAGCAAATGCTGGAGCTGTTTGACATTGTCGATATGACACAGTGTTAAATCAACTTGTATCTCGTTGAAGAGAAAACTTTCACATTTGCTGCTCTAAACCACTGGTGTCTGGCAACAGTGATTCTCTGATGAATAGCAAGTGATGTGAAGTGATGTTGCTCTCTTGTGAAAACCATGTATCTACCGAGTACGTTCTCCTTGGTGTGTTGAGAAGAATTCTCCAACACCAATAAAACCTTCCCGAAATCCATTGGAAACGAATCCGCTAAACTTGAATTAGAGCTTTGTAAAGGTTGCTAAGAAGTCGTAATACATTGTTTTCACCGGAGGATGAGCAGTTATAGCTTGTATAGCTAAACAGTGAAGGAAAAGATCGCCACTTACTCAATAACAGAGAACAGGAGAATCACTTTACACTGAGTCAAAATGAAAAGTAAACAGAAACCTTTACTGCTTCAATACCAACCCTGAGGAAGGAGTCCAGAGAGCCGTTCTCCATGTACTCTGTGATGATCATCGCCGGTTTGCCTGAGGGAACAAACAGGAACCTTCAGGACTCCATCTTACGCTAAACCAGCCCGGTCTCATTCCCAGGTCCTCAATTAGCGACGCTTTGTATGGACCTCAACACACAAGGCATCCTTTTATCGTCTGTATGAGACCCAACTGGCTCAAACGCATAACTTTCACCTAGCAGACCACTGTTCGTGTCCCATGTGAAACCAAAAATCAACTTTGTAACTTCGCTGTCGTAACAAATTTACTCATTTTAACAATGGACCGTATGAAATATGTCCGTCACCCATAGCTTTTTGGTGAGTCGTCGTGAAGCATCTTGGCAGTGACGACACAGCCACAACTCTAAAAATTGGCAAAGAGGTGGCTCGTCGGTGGAGTTGAGGCGGGCCCTGGTGACGTAGCAAAGGAGACAGCCTATAGCGGCTAGCGACCTGAGACGGCACCCCCCTGTCGCTCGAAGCGACCGTTGTGGAGCGCCATAGTTTGCTGCGTTGGGCTACCCAGTACGTGAAGCCAAGGCATCGTGACCAAGCGTTCGCATGTGACCAGTTTGGAATGAGACAGGTTGGATGAACCGCATATTTGCAGGATATTTAATACTTTTTAATATTTATTTACATGCATGTTCAACACCGATTATGGCGCATGTGACGTCCAAAAGAATTATGTCCTAATTTAATAAATCAAAAATATGAATGAATACTTTTGCAATATCAGAGAGAAAGCCATTACTTTTACACAGTGAGCCATAGAGGCACTGGAGGAACCCTTCTTCCTCTAAGCTCTTCAGCCCAAGTCCACTTCACCATAACTATGGGCTTACTTCCTGGACAGCCAAATTATAAGTCAAAGGAAGAGTTCTAACTGAGGGAGCAAGTTGTGAAAGCTTTGCGAGTTGTCTACACGACACACAGTAGATGAGGCTTGGTGAAGCCTATGTAGCCTAAAAATGTACGTTCACTGTTATTTATCATGATCTTTAACAGTCATAACTCTTAACTCATAGTCAGTAATCGTGAAAACAACTTTATTAACACTAATATATAGATGTAGCGGTAGCGTACTCTGGGTTACCACTCCCTCCAGGCGAATGACGTTGGGGTGGTCGAACTGGGCCATGATGGACGCCTCCGCCAGGAAGTCCCGCTTCTGCTTCTCCGTGTATCCCGCCTTCAGGGTCTTCAGGGCCACTGGGATGTCTCGCTTCCCCGGGAGTCTCATGCGTCCATAGCACACCTCCCCAAACTCCCCTTAACACAAACACAAGAAAAGAGTCCATTTAGCATGAATCCACTCGTTCAATTCTATTCTACTGCATTCAACATGCACTGTGCACCCCCCCGCCACATGTAACATATAAGAAATACTTGTAAATGTGTCTTAAGTTAATTTGCTGCGTTAGATAAGAGAAATCCATATGTGCAAAAGTAGAAGTAAGCTAATCCTCCATCAGCCTCTTTCTCATTAATTCTTATCTCAGAAGAACTTTTAAAGTGGGATGGCTTATTTGTCTTCCTCAAGTCTACACTTCTCTTCATGTCTGCAGGAGTTACATCCAGCAGCACAGTGTATTGTGGAGCCGACACAGTGTTAGTATTCCCTGCCCGTCTGAGGGACTCTGACTGACAGCCCCACGCAACGCTCTGATTCCACTCTGCCATCCTCCTCTCTGCTGCACACCGCAGCCTTTACACTGGCCAATGATTTTAAGTTAGCCCCGGCCAATGATTCTCACTCTGTGTGTGCGCGCGCTCGCGTGTGTGTGTGTGCGTGCACAAGTTTCACATATTTTTTTTTTTTACCTGAGCCAATGATTTTCTCTATTTTGATCCTGGAAGCTTCAATTTCTCGGGCAAACTCGTGGACCGCCTGGCAGGGGTCCTCGTACGTGTGCGGGTCGATGTAGAACCTTGCGTCGGGGAATGACACTAAGATAAACAACATTAGCATTCGGTCACATATCGGAGAACGAGAGCGGGGACTCAGCCCCTCGTCGCTGGTGTGTGCGAGGGAAGACTTGATGAAAGAGAAGAACTGGCTCACAGAAAGAAGCAGCAGAGAGAGAGATAATAAACAGCGGGTGCTCCTGCGGTCAGTCAGCGCGTGATGAAAAATTGTTTGCTCGGATGATGAACTTTATTACATGCAGTCTAATCAATACGTGTGCTTAATGGTTATAATTAAGGAGTGGGGCCAAACATACCGTGACCGTTCTGGTAATGCATCTTCTCCTCATCAGAGTCCTGGAAGGCTTTGCTGTAGCCACAGTGTCTATACAAACCACACACACACACACACACACACACACACACACACACAGTGGGATGAATACAGGACAATAGTGAAACATTTATACAAAATGTATCAAACTCGGCTCAAAATGAATAAATCAATAGTTGTTCATAATGAATTATTAACTTTAACAGAGCTATTCATCACTTAGTGAAACTTAGTAATTCATAAGGAGCAATATGTCAACCTGTTCTCCCTGTTAATTAGGGTTTCCACCGGCAACAAGGTGGAACCGAGCCTAATTATTTCCATTATGAGGTTCCCTTTCATATTAACAGACCTGTTTCTATGGGTATGCTTCCATGTTTAGTTCAAGTTAAAATGATTAACATCATATATTAATGCAATGAAGGAACAGTGGACACATCTCAGGAGGGCATTTAGGAGATTTAATGCATCGATCACAAATACGGGCGGTGTTGGGGAAGCCACACGCTACAGAAATACTATTTTTAACTTTGCGTTGAAAGAGGTGACTAACACTTTTTACATGTAGCATCACTACATAGGTTTGTCTTATTCATGTTTTTCTTAAAACAAAGTTTAAATTTCACTTATGTAGGGGAGTGGCGTAAAAACGGCTTTTTTTGTGTGCTTGAAATTCCAAGCACTATTGGCCATGTCTTTGCTGTTGGGCGCTTTCTTGAGTCATGGTGGTTGGCGACAACACACACACATTGAGGGTTTAATTCACTATGTTTGTATCCTGTCCCTTCATGTGTGAGTGCTGGTGTAGGTTTCTTTAAACCGTTTGGATCTCACTCTGTGGCAGAAACCATTGTTATTGCCTCCCATCTCCTTACTTATACTTCAATCATTATCTCCACCAGGAGGTTATGTGAATGGCCGTGTGTGTGTGTGTGTGTGTGTGTGTGTGCATATCCCTGTGTCTGTCCATCTATCCACGGCTAATATCGCAAACTGCCGGATCCATCAGCCTAACACGTTTTGTGCTCATTTATGACTGTATATCAAGCCTATTTTGGTTAACAGAGCTAACAGCTAACAAGCTAATATAGCTAACGGAGCTTACGGAACCAAACACACGGCAGGACTTTTCTTCAGTCTGTACAGAGGTCTGATGAGGTCCTTCTGCATAATAATTAGCCGTGTGCTTCTACGGGGATAGCGTGTTTTTTTGGAGCTATGGACCATAAAACTGACCCTGGTGGTTTCTGCCATACGTAGTTTTTTTTTTTTTTTTCTCATCAGTTTAACATCATTGTTTGCGTATTCATTAAAAATGAGCATTTTAAACTCCACCATCGGTGAAGCTTTCCTTTTCTGAACCAGCATCTTAATTACATTGGACAACATGATTTTGCCTGGATTACACATTTAAATCCTCCGACATATTCTTCCCCTCTCTAACAGAATGGAAATGAAAAACTTAATAAGCAGTGAAACACGAATTAATTAAGTGCATTGGAATTAATTATTCGATGCAGCATTCCAGAGATGTAAGTTGAAAACATCAAAAAAAGGGAGGAAGGGTGGGGTTGACAGGATAAGTGGGAACGTTTGGCTTGCAAGCTACTGGACATGAATCAACATAATTAAATGCACTACGAGGTGGAAATTATGATTTAGGAAATTAGCTAAACAAGGCGGTGAGAGGACAGGGAGGGTTGAGGAGATGAGAGAAGCTAAAGAAAATGAACATTCCAACATGGCAAAGGAGACTAAAGGTGTTTTAGATTCTCAAAAGCAAGCTTAAATGAGATTCAGCCCCTTTTGGATGGAATAACTCTTCACTCAGATTACAACCTCACTTTTTAAAATTTTACTTTGCAGGCAATACCACAGGAGGGAGAAACACAGTGCACACAGGGCTTCTGATCACAAGCAACATTTACACAAAGAGAGATACGGTAGAGTAGCGTAAGAAAGTGTTCCACACACAGCAGCGATGGGTAGTGTGGTAAAGTGTAGCCTTGCCGTTTCCTGCAGATGAAGATGGCCAGAAAGGTGACCAGGCCGGACACCAGGGCCATGCAGATCCAGATGATGGTCATGGTGTTGTAGCGCAGAGGAGCTGGAAACACACACACGCAAACACAACGCTCCGCGTTAGTCGAGTTTGCAGTTTACACTGACACACACACGGCGGCAAACACAGGCGGGCAGGTAGAGAGTTCGTGGTCAAACAAGATAAACAGGAATTTGTAGCTTCATTAAAGAGCTCAACATTTTGTAATTACCTCCTGTTTGCATTTTTGAAACTTTGTGCATGGCATCATATGGAGGGAATATTCAGCTAATGTTCATTTACTTTGAAAGATTGAATAGACCTGATAGTATGATAACTGCACATAAAGTAAGAGGTAAAAATAATGTATCTTTCAAATGACAGAAAATCTAATTATGCTAGAACTTAATAAGACTGTCGAGTACGTAAACTAATACATTTTGTGAGTCATGAATAAGCTATTGCATTTGTGATTTCGGTGGCATTTTTTTATTCACCATTTCGTGTAATAACAAGCCCTAATCATAATTAAGTGTGTCGTGGATACATTTCTTTGCTAATCATTTCAACTGTGTGTGCTACAGCAGGGACGACACACTGGCAGCTCTGTGAAGGCTGTACCACAGTGAGGTACAGTGATGCTTTAGGAGATGTAGATACAAGTGAAAGCTTTAGCTTTTTGCTGTTGGCGCTAGAGCAAAGGTAAAAGGTCACGGTAGGTTTCATCCTCTGGGGACCATGAACATAAAAAATTCCACGGCAATCCATGTAAAGAGATATTTCAGTCAGGATCAAAGACTTTGCCATCCCTAGAGCCTTGAGATAAACATGGTTACCATTAAAGCTTCAACGTTGGGTAAGACTGAACTACACACGGAACGGACACAACGAAAAAAAGGCTAATCTGGTTTTCATAAACTTTAGGACTTATTGATTACTCAGCATGTATGGTAGCGGGGGTGGGGGGGGGGGGGGCATGTACAGTCCTCTTGTTTTCAGAGTCAGTATCAAGAGGAGCAGAGTCTGGGTCCAGTGAGCAGCAGAATGAAGGGAGACTATTAGTCAGTGAAACAGCACTGGGACTCTGACCAGGCAGGAGGTTTAGCTTTGCAGACCTGAAGTCTGCTCCGCAGGTTCTCTGCCAAATCCCCTATTAGGAAAGAAAAATGTTCCAATAAAGGTTTTTCCAGTGAGTCCTAACTTTCAGTGTTGTACTGGCCTCAGGTGGACAGACTCATGAAGACTTCTAGCCCCCCCCCCCCCCCCCCCCCCCAGCACTGGGATAGGCTGCAGTTTTTCTGACAGCGGTGACCCCCTAACAAAGCTCAGATCAATAGAAACGAGGGATGGACGGGGGCGGCTATCAGCCTCGCTGACACTTTAGCCCAGGACCATGCTGTGCAGTCTGGCCTGGGAAGTCTTTTAACACTTTTTCAACTGTATTAAACAGCATACGACCGCTATAGGGTCCCCGTGGCTCAGGGCAGGCAGCAGGTTCTGTGACACAATGTATTTCTGTTTCTTATAGACCATGATATACAAACACACACACACACCTGCTTTCCCAGTCTGAATCTCCACATTCTGGCTGAAGTCTCCGCAACCCGCCGACGTTCTGGCTCGGACCTGGAAGATGTACTTGGTGCCCGGCTTCAGCCCCGATACCCGGGCGCTGGTATTTTTAGACTTCAGAGTGGAGTAACTGTGTGCTTCATTTTCCTGTAACAGAAACGGCCACGTTTAAATGGTCAGCTTTGGGGATCTTAGCATGTTGGGCAGGGTATGTGCTAGACTAAACACTTCACAGCCCAAACCATGACCTCAATGCATCTGATGTCACCAACTTTACTGCTGGTTACACTTAAACCTGAAATAACACATTTTCGGGGGGAATCAGGGGAAAAATACAAGGAGTTTCCAGTTTTAATGCAGTTTTTCTATTACTTCTTAATATAATGTAATATTTATTGCAGTAGTTACACTGGGTATCAATGAACTGAACACAACCCCTCCGATTGTTAAAATAAATTTAGTTGTTTCTTTAACCATGAATTCAACTTTTTTTGTTTCCTTCCTTGAATACATCTAGTAGTGTCATCTCTCCGTCACCCCCCACCCTTCAGACAAGGCCACCCCCTTCTCATGAATCCTCATCTGTCAATCATTTGATTCTCCAGAATAGCAAAAAAAAAACAGACATCCCCTCTCACTACTCTATCCATAAACAATTTCACACCACTACTAGCTCAATTTAAAGAAAAGCATGGAAAGTATTCCTTGTGCGTCTGTAAAATGGTTTTGCACTTATGCATCAGTTCTTGGATTAAATAAACCACAGGACTTGGCTGCATTTATAGCAGCTTTAGAGCTGCTGCAAATACTTATTTACACATTTTTGAGGCTATAGTAGTGGATTCCTCAACGTACATTTTATTTTATTAAGGAACAAACGATCAGCTGGGGAAACATGGATATTTTGATGTCACATAAATAGCATCTAACTATAAGTCAAGGAGTCTCTGTCTGTGTGTCCATCGTTTATCTCGAGAACCGTTCATCTGATCTACTTCACACTTGGCAGGTGTGTTGCTAGGTGCTCAAGGGAGTGCAGTGTCGAATTTGACATGCTCAACACGAATAAAATAAACTCTTTTTCACTTTCCACGCAGTCAGCGAGCAACGAACGGTTCTCGACAGCGCTGCAAGCAGCAGTCCCGGGGTCCAAGCCGTCGGCTCGCTTGGAACGGCCACACGCTCGGAACGAGCACCGCACTAGTTTTTTACCACATTCCCAAATCTTTCCGTCAAAACACAGAATTGTCTTCCTTGGTTTTTTAACATGAACAACAACGTCAGGTTGGACGGGGACACTAACTGAGTCGTGATGGTGCTTTTTTTTTTTTGGGGGGGGGGGGGGTCCATGGTACTTTAATGCGGCATTGGTCAAACACCACTTAAAGCAATGCCACCAGTCCAAATGATTTAACGGAATTTATTCAAACAACGGCAGTCTCAGGAGTTTTTCTTTGAAAAACAAAAAAATTGGACCTAATGGTCAAATCATGCTGGATTTGCCGCTCATTAACAGCTTAATTTATACACTGCCCCCCGCTGTTTGGGGTCTTTCACTAGATTTTCTAAACTGTTTGCCGTTGTGTAAATGAATGCAACCTTGTCTGCCACTCAAATGTAATTGGCAGGTAATTACCTCAGGCATATTTTGAAAAATGACAGGTACTTTGAGGATTATTTATTTCCTTTCAGATAATTCATTTATGATGCCTAATGTTCAAATGTGAATTTCTCAAGATTATACCCCCATCTGCCGTGCAAAGTTCTTTTTTGTTATGTACATATTCATTAAAGTGGGATTTTTGTTTTCGAGGAACACATTTATTCTTGTGAAGACTTGATCAACAATGACGTTTATCATTAACCATCGTCATCGTCACTGCTATCCTCGCCTTGCTCTCATCTGCCTGCCGCAGCATCTTTACGAGTGTTGGAGGTAATACGAGTTCAGCAATAATGAGGAGGTGCAAGGTGCATCCAAACAGCAGAATAAGTGAATCATTCATGTGTCCTCGGAAAAGGATAAGAGCCTAATTAAGAAGAAGTGCCGGGTGCAGAAATGAGAGGCATTTCTTTGTCTTCATTATCCCCCTCTGTAGTGTGGTGCTGCTGCAGCGGCCGCCACCCTCGCTGTGACTCATTGCTGTTTAAGTGCAGCCTATAGAAACCTTAAGAAAGCACATTGCTGACTTGCCCACTTGAAATCCCCCCCGCGGTCGTCTCACCCCCCCCCCCGAGCGAGGCCAGATTAAGACGCCAGCGCAAGAGACGAGCTAATCCTCCATCACTCCCACAGCACCGTCCTGCTTGTTTGGCTATGAGACTGTCTGTTTCCAGGCTGCTCCCGCTGCAATTAACTGATTCCTATCACCACGCGCTCGCCCCAAACACAGACACACACACACTACCTGTGCATGTTCGCGCTCGCGGCAATTAGCCCCGTCGAGAGGCTTACGCGCCCGTCAGCCGCTTTCTGTCACCGTCACTTTGGCTGAGGTGGAATCCTCGCCGTCTCATCCTCCTCTCTCGACCCTCATTTCCTTTCAATTAGCTGAGCTGCCAGCGGTACCTTTTTTTTTTTTTTATTGGGATTAAGTTATCCGGAGTTTATCCAACCACTCTCCTCCGCATTCACAAATATCTTGGCTCAGTTTAGTCGCAGTCCTTTGAAGACAATGAGCTTATGTTCTCCAGGTATCGCAGAGACGGTGTCACTTTTTCCCCCTCTCATAAGCTGCCTGAATAAATATTGGAAAAAGCAACCCTAAAAACAGTGCAGGTCTGGAGCAGTGCGGATGCTGCAGCTGGTTCTGGTACCTTCTCGTAGTATTTGATGTCGTACTCCAGGATGACTCCGTTGGGCTGGTTGGGTTCGTGCCACAGCAGGATCACGCTGTTCTGGCTGGTGTTCTGCTGCCGGATCTCCATCACTTCAGAGGGGGCTGCGCAAGAAACAGGAGAGATTACTGCTTTGTCAGTTCAAGATGGGGATCCTCAGTGACCACGAGTATAATGAGGTGATGACATTACGTGTCATGTTTACACAGGAACGGCTGCATTTCCTGAAATACACTCAGGCAGGGTGAAAAATAATATAGTGTACACTGAGGTGGCCTTGACGGCTAGTGTGCAGACTTTATAAACTCTTAGTTCATATCAAGTGGTTTCAGCCCCAACAAGTCCTTGAAGCTAAATGATTAGCCCATGTCTGACTTGTCTCAATCAGCAGGTCGACATTATTTATCGAAGCCTCCCAAACTGCTACAAATGATCAGCCACCTGTATGGTTAATATTTGGTAGGAATGGGGATACGAACAGCAGTCGCCAGTGTGTGTAGAAAAAAACCCCACCCGTGTGTGTGTGTGTATGTGTGTGGGGGGGAACAAGCTGCTTGAGAAAACGTTTAACTTTTACAGTTACAGTTGATTACAGCAACAATAATCACAATGCAGATAAAGTTGATGTCAAGAGTTGGACATTAGTACTGTTTGCTGACAGTGGCAGCTACTCCTACTAGTCCTTACAGAAACAAAGCGTGTGGCCCCAACCTGTTTTTCATTATCAGCAAAAAAAAATGTCGTCGAGGCAGCACATTTCATCCAAAGACTGTTATTTTGGCACTTCTGCTAAATTTGACAGCAAGACAGAGACAGCAAGAGGAGAAGAGTAAGACGTATGTGTGATAAAGGGCCAAGGCTGCAACTGATCAACCAACATGCCCCAAGGGCCAAGTTTATCTTTTACTTTTTCAAAGAGCCATTTCTGTTCTTTTGGATAATTTACAGTGAGTGATTCAAGGTCAGATTTGAAACCAGGACATTACAGGTTCAAGGTGAGAACTATAGTCATGTGAGGCATCCTGGATTCCCAGCACAGTGAGCACATCCTTCCCTCTACAACCAGGGCTGCCAACTGTTTCACATCGACCGTGAGACTCCAGTTGAAAATAACAAATTTGACGGCCGCTCAAATGTGGATCGATTTGATATGAAAGAGAGTCGTATGAGAAGTCAGAAAAGTATAAAGCCACAGATGCCTCCACCACGTAACACGCTGTAATGAGGTCATGGTCATTTCTCGTATTTATGTGAGGTCGCGTTGCCCTTAACTAAAGAAAGTTAACAATAATGTAGCCCTACGCATCAACTTCTCATTAACAAATTTGACCCAGAAAAAGAGAGGTGGTTGTATTTTTTATTTTCCTCAGGAGTGTGTGGACCAACTATACTTCAGGAGCTTAATAGCGTCTTGATAATGGGCCCAATGTAAATTTCATGGGTGATTCTCTGCCTGTTGCCGTGTGTATCTGTGGACTAAAAGTGTCTTCTCCACGTGGCAGCTGGAGAAACTTTAGAAAAAGCTGTGAACCCACTGTTCCACATCATAAAGGCAAGGAGGATTACAGTGCTGTCACCAGATCCGACGCCATCCCTTTATCGGTCTGTGGCCACCGGTGGATCGAGAATACACCTGTGGTAGAGAGGGCGTCGCTCTGGGTCATTCATCATGGGAACAAAAGGTCCTATGTTTCCCCAACCCATTCTCATTCCCAACTAGCCACATACGGACGATTGGTCAGGACCCCTTGGTGTCACTTCTGTTGAGGCTAAAGATCATGGTTTTGGTTAAAATAAGTATGTGTTTGGTAATCTCGGAATGGGCTGGTTGCCCAACATAGATACGCTCCCGTAGAGAGGGCTCTCGCTGTCCAGCCATCACTTCACCAATATAAGGATTCTGTAAGAGGAACCAAACCTCCTTTTGTTTTGTTCAGAGACCCAGACAGCTGCAAGAGGCAAACATCTGGCAGGAGGTGTTTCTGCTGGTAGGAATAGTTCTAGAATAAGGTATTTTTTTAAAGTAAGTAGTCAATCAGAAATATTCTGGAGATTGAATTGTTAAGCATAAGGCTGTAAACACGGGCAGTGTGTTTCTGTCAAGCAATTATTAACGAGCCAATCGCAGACATGAATACTTCACATAATCAATTGTAGTGCTTTTTCGACAAGTTTCTCCATTTTCACTGAAACTGTTTCTAATCAGAATCATATTTATCAGAGTGGATCTCTCTCCTGTTGTATTGGAAGAGGTTTTAACAGTGTACACCATTATAACCACTATAAGTTGTTGATATAAAGTAATGATTTATCAATATATTTTATATAACACTTTTTATTTTCTTAGTTGATGTCATTCCCCAACAATTTGAGGCTCTCCCGTCCCGTGGGAGCAGAGTTCCTCTCCTTCCCATCCAATCAAAAGAGGCTGGACATCTTCTTGTGTGGTTTCCTCAGAAAAGCCCGATCCAGAGCTTTGGGCTTTGTGCCATTTTGTCCCATGGACCGGCCTTTGTGGCGAGAGGCTTTTCTGTAAACAAGGATGTGGAGGCTTGCAACATGCAGGAAGACACACAAGCTTGTGTGTGATTTTGTCATTCTACACCAGGGGGAGGTTACTAAAGTTCCTCCTCACAAAAGAGCTCCTGACTTCTGTGGCATCAGCCTGGTCCAGGCACCGCGTCCACCTCAGGAGAGGAGGAAGCTGGAGTCTGATGCACAGGGCCAGAAGAGAGAGGCTGCAGGGGGATCTCCTGGAGGACCTAAAAAAGAAAAAGGAAAAACCATCCAAGAGGTTTCTGAAGGTCTGGCCAGACAGGTTTGCGGAAGAAGCCGAGGGCAAGGCTGGCGGTCAGATGGCCAAGCTTATAACAAAGTCCAACGCCCTGAGGAGCCGCAGCAAGGAAAAGTTAGCCGAGCTCAAGAACATTGAGGAGATTGAGGACACACACACACACACACACACACACACACACACACATACAGTTCTGAAATCATGTTTATGTTGAATGTGAATAAATTATGCAAGTAATTCTGGGTGTCAGATTTCCGTTCATATTCTTCGCACTTTTCCAGTATGGACGTGAAATAGGTTTTTAAAGTGCGTTCATGATGGTCTCACTGTAAAAAGTCTTCAATTGAACTAGTTGAAAGCTGCAGAAACCCTGGATGAGATAGAACGGTTGGAGGGGAGTCACTATAGTGGAGAGAGACGTTTTAAATGAGCTTTGGGGCTTCAATGTGTCAGTCTCCAACACATCCGCTTACATGCAGAAAGAACTGTGTAGAAGAACTCAAAAGCTACTGAATGTCTACACATACTGCTTTGCTTTTTAAGGATCGTAACAGTGAATAAAGACCTGCCAGCTTTGCATGAACCTTAATTTCATGGTCTTCCATCTCTGTTTAATGGCCAGGTGATGTGGTGGTTCACTTTTACACTGTGACCTGTAGGCTTTGGCTTCTATCTTGATCTTTTCAAGCGGTTTTCACTGTCGAATCAGTTTGACATCCTGGATATATATCCTTCAAATGCACATTTTCAACCGTTTTCTCTGCTTCTCTCTGAAATCGCTTTATTTTTGTTTTCTCAAAAGTGACAGTGACAGTGCGGGCTCCATGAAAGCTTGAGAGAGTCTTAGCAAAGAGTCAACTGTGGCTCCACATTGGGCATCACTCCAAGTCCACTTCAAGAGTGCATATGCAGTTTGTAAAGGAAAGGCCTTCAGTATAGTACTACGAACTGTCATGACAGACAGAAAGTTGTTAAATCAGCATTATCATGTTGTAGAATAAAGTTGCTGTCACAATAATAAACTAAAATACACACATTACCAAACTAATTAAAGTTTCGGTTCATGCAGCTTTAACAGCTTGTACCATCGCAGGAATCCATATTATCAAATAGAAATTGTCATATAGAAATCATGGAAAAGCACCATAAAGCATCAAACTGTCTCTTCCCACGTCTCCTTTCATCTTCATTGTCAGCAACAGTTAGACTATGATGTCTGGAGGCTGGCAAGTATGCTGATCAACCATAGGTATTCATGTTTGACCATGATCATTGACTTGACTTTGCGTCGACATTTGCTTTAAAATTTGAGAATTTAGCTCCTGAACTGGGGGTTGAGGATTGATGACCCCGACCCTCTGCGATAATGTCAAAGAAGGCCAACTCATAAAACGCACCGACTTCACCGATAGGCGACCGAATCTCACTCCCAACTAACTCAAAAAGTTGGCAGCCCTGAACAACCTGTCCTGTCTAAAGTCTTTCAGTATTTCTCTTCTACAGGAGCAAACAACCTGTAACCTAGAGCTCCCCATAACCTGAACCGCCAAGACCCTGGAAGGCTTGGATGCAAAGTTCTGCCTTGTATTTCTACTGTGTTTTGCAAACCGGACCTTTTCTGATACATGTTGTTTAAAAGAGAACACTGACAGATTTACATCACACCAGGACTTTGTCATTCTTACATAGTGTTTAGGAGGCGAATCTTGGACGAACAAGAAGGGAGCTAGTGGCCCTGATAATGACTTCCTTTCATCTTTACACAGAGTGACTTTTAAACGTGAGTATCATTAACTTAATGGAAAGGGGCCCAACCCGCAGTGGGAGGTCGACAGAATGGAGCAGTGAACTAGACCGGCAACGGATCAACAGCCTGCTGACTCTGGAGACAGGTCACCTGCGGGCGCCATGCCATTAAACAAGGCCGCTGTTTGAGGCTCGCCTGAATCACAAAACAGAGGGTGGGGGGGGGGGGGGACCAACCGACAGGTGGAGAACAAACCACGTGATGCACAGCAATTATTTTAAAGTATACTTTTAAAGATATAATTGAATGTAGCTTTGTTAGTGGAAACAATTCTTCACATCTGAAAATATTTAATGACTTTGCAAGTAGCTTTGCCCAGCTGCTGGAACAGCTGTAATCCTATTATCTTGAAAATAAAATTGTTACAACAGCAGATCCTGTCTTTGGATTCTTTTTTCATTTAACAATGCGCTTGGTGTGCTTTGGGACTTCACAATACTTTTGAGTTATTGGAAATGTTTGGCTCACACAAGTACATACGATCAATACAACCCTAAGCACAATGGCTCCTTAATGCACGGGCTGGCAAGGAAAATGTAGTTTTGAAAGGCTAAACGCCAACAAATATGGATTGAAGCAAAATGTTTTGTGAGATAAAACATTGTGAATATTTATGTGCAACTCGCAAAAAATAGCTGGTTTTAGTGGCCCGTCCCTCCCTTCACAATATGCCATGGCTACATTAATTCAGCACCCTCCGTCAGACTGGAACAAATAGTAAACAGAGTGAAACACAATATGAAACTCATCAATATAAGACAAAATGTCAACAATAAGTCAAGACAAAGCTATGTGATCACAATATACAACAGCGACATTAATTCAGCACCCCCGTCAATGGTCAGCGACAAATTTACTGATCAGGAGGGCACTCCGTTTCCTATTTGTCGCTGTCCATTGATGCAGGGTGCTGAATTAATGTTACCAGTGTGTGCCATGAGCCAAAGCCTCCGAGATGAGAAACTGTCACTGTTCCGAACCCTACCTGCCTGGTTCGTTGTGATGTTGACCAAGGCATAAGTTGACGGCTCGTTGCTCAGGTGGGTCACTGCGTTCATGGCGAGGAGACGGAAGGAGTAGTTGGTGTGAGCCACCAGGTTGAGCACCGTCACCCAGGGCTCCGTCAACCCGGTCTGGCGGGGAACGAATCGAACCGCTGCGGTGCCCAAGCGCTCCACCATCCCTCCGACGCTGGCACTCGCCCCTCCGCCTGCCTTCCCGCCACCGGCGCCTCCCGGGGAGGACGCGCAGTCCCCGCAGGGCCCCCCTTCCCCCGAGCATTTCTGACACAACACGCTGTACTTCAGGTCGCTGCGACCTCCGGTGTCCTGAGGGCGATCCCACTCTAAATTCACGGACGTCCCATTGACTGAGGAGATGACGTTTACCGGAGCAGATGGAGGGCCTGGAGAAAAGAAAGCGGGAGGTTTGAGTTCATTTACAGGTTTGATCAAAAAGAAATTAGTTGGATTTTTGAAGCGTAGATGCATTCGGCACATCATTCGGTAGTTGCTGTGTGTCTGTGGGTGTGTGCGCAGGTCTTCGCCGGTGGGATTAGGTGATCTTGTGCACCGTGTGTTTGTGCTTACGGGAGCATGGAGCTGCTGGTGGGTCATCTGCCGCTCTGTAGTAGTTGGAGTCGCAGGGGCAGGAAAGGGCGGCTCTGGTCTCCGAGTGGCTGTGATGAGGACATTTACCACACAGGCCATTGCCCGCCACCGGCTTATAGAATCCCATCTCACAGGCTGCAGAGAGAGAGAGGGAGAAAGAGAGAATAAATAGAGTAAATAAAGAGCTCTGCAAGGAAGGGCTCTGGACTCCCATAATCACTGAGGCCGTGATAAAATTGAGAGAGTGTGTGGCCAGAAAGGCGTCAATCACACCCCTATAGCAAGCTGCGCATACCAACTTTTTCAAAACTGTGTCATCTCCTCCAAAGCAATCATTTTAAGGACATAACCCCCCCCCCCCCCTCCTCCAAATCTATGTATAATTACAGGCCTTGTAACCGTAGAGCAGGGGAGATGAAAGTCGTATTTCTTTCTGCTCAGATTTGGGCTGAAAAGGCTCTGCACTGTTGATACTCCCAGTGAGACCCCCTTCAGAATCCAGACCGTGTTTCAACCTTATTCAGCTCCTCTGATACGTATTCACTTTTAACTCTGCACTGATTAATAATAGAGGGGCGCTCCGATAAATATATTCTCTTTCCAGGCGGTTAATAGGCTTCTGCCATGGTAAATGGGGCAGGGGGTAAACCTCGCACACACTCAGAAAGGAGCAGCAGACGCCGGGCACGCTCGCGTTCATTCTTCCTCGCAGGGTAATTTATGCTTCCCCAGAACGCAGAGTGTTAGTTTACAGATGCTGTGTCCTCCTAACCTTTCTCTTGTTAAAGTTCACAGAGGGCCATTTTAGGTGCTTGGATTTCAAAAGGTGCTGAAAGAACCATGAAATTGAATAACCAACAGGAGTGAAATTATAACAAAGCGAATCGTTAGAAATGTATTCTGGGCTACTGACTGAGATATTTCTGGATGCGTTTGAATAGGAATGAAACCTTCCTCGATGCTTGTACCCGAAAAGTACACATGCAAAAGTTCACCATGACTGAGCAGAGAAAACACACACACAGGCGCGCACACACACACACACACACACACACACACACACACACACACACACAC